AAATATAGTTTTAATATAGAAAGTAGGATTATATCTTTTATAACAATTAGTATCCTGCTTTTTTCCACTTAACATTGCAGCATGAATGTTTTCCTATGTTTTTAATATTTTTCCAAATGTCTTAAGTGGTGGCAGGATATTTCATCATAAGGCTGTACTATATAATAAGCATTTATTTTTGTTTCATTGTTTTTTTTTTTTTTTTTGTCCTCCATCTATCCTACTACCCAATTTCCCTCTGGGGAACACATGGGGCTTGGGTAATGCTGACTCCACCCATGACTCCAAGGTGGGAGTCCTTGACCTAGGCCTAAGCAAGTCAGGTCATTGTATTTCCCTGTCCCCAAGGATTAGATTCAGAGTGGGCAGCACTACCCCATGCCTCAAGAAGGAGCAAGGAATCCAAGGGACCAGGGGAAAGTGACCACCTATAGTCCATGCCTCCTTCTAGACTACGTTTCAGGTACCTAGAAACCTGAAATTCCCTGCCCAACTATCCTCCAAACCCACTTCCAGGGCCTGCACAGACCTCTTCCCTATCTCTCCTCTTGAGGCCAGATTGTACCACTGGTGTATACACCCCTAGGTCCAAGGGATAGGGGACAGTTGTTTTCAGTGAGTATCCAGGAGTTTGGGTGTCAGGACTGAAGTGTCCACATGTGTGCATGTAAGACCCATTATAGTGTCGGAGGAAGCTGGAGGGTAGAAAGTTACAGAGTAGAATTCCAAACAATCTAGGATTCTAAATTTGAACCTGGCCTTCTAGGTTATTATAAGGGCATATTTATCAGCTAGGGTGACAGAACAAATTTTATTTAAGAATTTTAAAATTTGTTTATAACTTTTAAGTTTTTAGACTTAAATATGTGGGCCTCGTTTGTACTCTTGCCCTGGGCCCATTTTCTTTATGCTATTTTGGGTCAAGTTTTCTGTCACAATAGAAAGAGTCCTAATTAATAGAGTACCATATTTTATATCACTATGACCCTATTATAAGACATTTTAATTTTTTTTTTACGTTTTTATTGTCCAAATTAAATTCAAACTCAAAGTCTTAAATTCTTCACAATTCTGAAAGGCTACAGAAATTAATTTCCAACCAGAAACTTCTTAATAAATAAACAAAAAAATTTTCTCAAATATAACTTGATACCTATTAAAGCTACACCTGTAATTTTATCACAAAACTACATGTTAAATTTCATAAGCATCATAGTATAAGATAAAAGAAAGGATAGTACAGAAAGACTGGCAGAAATTTGGAAGTGTAATCAGAGTAATTCATCACCGGCCTGTCAGTTTGTCATACTTTGGTGGCTTATGTGTTATTATGATGCTTGAAGCTATGCCACGAGCATTCCCAGTACCAACAGGGTCACTCATGAGGGACAGGTTTTAGTGGAGCTTCTAGACTAAGATAGACTAGGAAGGAAGACCTGGCCATCTACTTCTGAAAATTAGCCAATAAAAACTCTATGAATCACAACAAATATTGTCCAATATTGTGCTGGAAGATGTAGGTACTCAAAATATACAATACCTACAACAATAGACTTGAGCATATCAACAATTGTGAAGATGGTATAGGATCAGGCAACAATTCGTTCTGTTACACATAAGGTTGCCATGAGTCAGAGCCAACTCAACAGCAACTAATTGAGAAATTGTAGTTCTTAAGTGATAATCAGATACTTTGATACATACACATGGAAGATATCTAGGAACTTATCTACTCTAGATATTTTATATATATATACACACACACATATACGTCTATATATATATACATAGCTATATATATATAAACCATAAGGTTTCCAAGGAGCAGCTAGTGGATTCAAACCGCGGACCTTTTGGTTAGCAGCCGAGCTCTTAACCACTGTGCAACCAGGTCTCCTATTTTATATAAGTGAGATTATATAATACTTGCCTTTTTGTGACTTATTTTACTCAGCATAATATTTTCAAGGTTCATCCATGTTGTAGCATGTATCAGGACGTGTTTATTACGGTTATCGGGGTGAATGGGAAGGAGAGGAAAAGAAGAACGCTGCTCAGGGGATACTGAGCTTCTCTTAAGAGTGATGACAGAATTTGGGAACAGATAATGGTGACAGTTAAACAACATGATAAACATGTTGGTGACCTAATGTGACAGAGTAGAACTGCCCCCATAGGGTTTTCTGGACTGTAATCTTTACAGGAGCAGATCACCAGGTCATTTCTCCCACAGAGCCACTGGTTGGGTTCGAATCGCCAATCTTTTGGTTAGCAGCTGAGTGCTTAACCATTGCACCACCATAATGTCACAGAGCTGTACATGTGAAAAATGTTGAAATGGCCAAATGTTTCATTACATGTATATTTACCACAATACAAGAAAAGTAATATCCAGCACTTGCATTGAACTTCATAGTTTATAAAATGCTTTTAGTAGATTACCTGATTTCAGCCCCAAAACAACACTGGAATAGAAATAATTACTACCCCCATATCACAGATGCCAAAACTGAGATGCATTGACACTGAGTATATTGACTAGAGTCATGCAAACAAGAAGTTATGAATCTAGCCATGAGGTGGTTTTTTTTTTTTTTTTTCTCACTACACTGTACACTCGGTCTGGACTGATTTCCCTGCCTGCTTTTCTCCGTTTCTTCTCCTCTGCGCCTGCATGTCCTAGAAAGAACTTCAGGGCCCCATTTGTACAGTGCTGGGCTCTCTCTACCATGCGAATAACAAGGCTGACATAGTTCCTTGGGTAAACACGAGCAAGAAGTGACAGTGATTTACGCCCAACGTGCAAACTTCTGATTACCAGTCAGCGGCCTGCTATGTAAACAGGTGTAGACTAAGATTTAATCAGTTTACACAGTGTTGTAAATAATTTAATCTCTTCTCAGCACGGTGCTTGCGAATGTAAACGTTTAAGCCAGAACTGATGCCGACATTGTGATGCAAGCGTCCAGTTTCTCAGCCAGAAAAGCTGGTTGGACAAATGGCCCTTGAGTGCCCCTGCCCAGGGGGCAGGGAGGCTGGCTTCAGAGAGATGGTGAGACACGCCAGAGTTCTGGGCGGAAGCGTCATTGTTCCCAATGCAACGCTCAGGGGTGGAGCCCAGAAGCTCATGATCAACTCTGATCATCTCTCCATCCTTAATACCTCCTGGCCCTGAATCTTTTCTCTCTCCCTCAATTGTCCTTCACTGCACTGTTCTGCAGATATCTGAGTGGGCTGCAGGTGAGTGAAAAGGGAGGCAAGATGAGAGAGCAAGAAAAGCAAGAACATAGTGGCCTGCAGGCTAGTTGTAATAACATTTTAACTTGGAGACTACCTGAGCACTCACTGTATTACCTGTCACTGGGTGCTATGCAAATCGCTCCTAGATCATATTAAAATCACATGCAAATGGGCTCTCAGTTGTCAGAAACTGTTTACTACACCTGACAGAGTCCCCTGAACCAGAGAGTGCTGCCACCTATGAATTTTTCGTCAGTACTGTTCATGCTCTAGTCAGCCTGGCTCTTCCTTGGACTGAGAGGGTGGGAGGAGGCTTGCCCTTCCCCATCCACGTGTGAGCCCCCGCTTTCTCTGGAGTGAAGGCCCTGGGTGAGGAAGCCTTGGCTCTGTCAGCCCCATATTAAGACATCTGGGGACTGACCAGCGGACGGACAAGTGTGAGCCAGAGAGCCAGTTTCCTGATCTTCTGCCTCCTTAGAGAATTCTGCTTACAAGCAAATTGTATACCCTGGCCTCCTTAGTAATACCATGGCTGTGATTTTGTTAGTTCCAAAAAAGAAAAAAAATCTACTATGGTTAGGCTTTGTACTAAGTCCTGGGATAAGAAATGAGTTTGATTTACTCCTGTCCTGACACAGTTCATGGTAGAAGAGAATGTGAGGAGCCTTGGTGGCACAGTGGTTAAAAGCTTGGCTGCTGAGCAAATGGTTGGCAGTTGGAATCCACCAGCTGCTCCTTGGAAACCCTACGGGGCAGTTCTACTCTGTCCTATAGGGCATCTATGAGTCAGAATCGACTTGATAGCAACGGGATTGGAGTTTTGGTTTTACTGAATGTGAGATGCTTCTTTCTCTTAAAGCTACCATTTATTGAACAGCTCGCACATGCCAGGTACTGGGATGGATATACATTTTCTCACTGAGTCCTCACATCAACACTCTGATGTGGGCATTATCATCACTGTACAGACCCACATTGCTGACGAAAGGGGGGCCAGGATGTGAATCCCAGCGTGAGTCTCTTCAAAGCCCTTTCTTGAAATTATGTTGCAAAGATTGTGGTTTCTGAACTCCCTCCCCACCCAGGCTTCAGAAGAGGGCACTCCTGGCTTCTGGGTTTAGGAAGGTACACACAGCATCCCTGTCAGAAGCAAAGTTCAGAATGAGGAAGCAGAAAGCCTGCAGCTAAATTATATTGAGTATGTTTTACACATATTAATTCATATAGTCCCTATATCAGCTCTCGGAGAGAGAGATTATTATTGTTCCCATTTTACAGGTGAGACAACTGAGGCAGAGGAAGACTTTCCAACATTCTACAGATAATCTGTCTGAACTGGGGACAACACCATGAAGTTTATCTTAGAGCTTGCAGAGTGTACTGATGAGGATGTTCCAGCACAGACCTGGATTTACGTGACATTTATAAGATTTGGGAAGCTCCTAACATCTTACTTTCAAGAAAAACAACAATTAGGAAAGATTTTTTTTTTTTTTAAGCACCTAAATGAGACTGAGGAATCTCCTGTGAGAAGAGACTATTTTTATAGAAAGCACAGCTGGTCACCTCCTTGTCATGACTGGGGGATAGACATTTGCAGATGAAGAGAGATTATACAGAAAAAACAACAAACAAGCAATAGACAATGAGAAGGTCTTAATATTATTTCTGTAGCTATGATTCTGGGATTTGACAAGAGGGAACAGGAGCAAAGTATGAGGGTAGATAGGACTGCAAGATCAGAAAACAGTTCAACTTACTTCTTGACTTTACTCTCCGTACTTTCTACCACGTAGTAGCCTGGTTTGCATTCGTATCTGCAGACAGAGCCCACGTCATGGTTGCCCCGGAGGCAGTGAGGCAGGAGCAAGTTGGCGTTGGGGATAACAGGAGGGGCATCACACTCCAACTTGCAGTAGGCTTCCGGAAGGGACCAGAGCCCATCTTCAAGACAGGTCAACCACGGGCTCAGTCCTGACTCCAAGGAAGAGAAGCACAGCATGCTTAGAACAGAGAGCCCGAAAATCAACAACAATATAATAACAGAAGAAAAAATGAAAACCTGTCAGCATACTGGCATTCTCAGAAAGTCACATTATTCTTTGTTGGACTACTTCTTTAAAACCTTAGGTCAAATGTTTACCCTCTATCTCTTCACCCACAGAGCATCCAATGTGGTCTCCTAGACAGAATAAACGAAAAAACAAAACCAGCTGCCGTCAAGTCACTTCTGACTTATGGTGACCTCCTGTGTGCAGAGTAGAACTGTGCTCCATAGGGCTTTCAGGGCTGTGACCTTTAGGAATCAGACAGCCAGGACTTTCTTCTGAGGCACCTCTGGATGGTCAAACAGCCAACCTTTTGGTTAGTAGTCAAATGAGTGCTTAATCGTTTTCACTACCCAAGGACTCCCATCCTAATAGAGGTCGGATAAATATTTCTTGACCTGATTCTTGAGAGAAGGGCTACCAGCCAAGTCATTATCTCCCTTCCTACCTACAATAATAAAAACGTAGCAGCGACAATATCATGGAAAGCACTGTAATAATGGCAGATGGCACTTGTACAGTGCTTATTTTATGCTAGGCACTGTTCTCAATCATTTTACGTGTTTAAATTGTATAAACTTCAAACCTCAAACAATCTTATGAAATAGATACTGTTATTATCCTCCTTTTTGCAGATGAGGAAATTGGGATTAGGTAACTTGCTCAAGCATGTAAGGAACACAGTCAGGTTTGAACCAAGGCAATTTGGATCCAAAGTTCTGTGCTTACAAAAAGAAACAATCTTTGATGGTTACTAGGGATGGAGGTGGGGGGGAATACTAAATAGACAATTGATAAGTAGTAACTTTGGTGAAAGGTAAGACAGTACACAATACTGGGGAAGCCAGTGCAACATGTGCAAGGAAAGGTCATGGAACCTCCGTAGACACATCCAAACTCCCCGAGGGACCAAACTGCTGGGCAGAGGGCTGCGGGGACCATGGTCTTGGGGAACTTCTAGCTCAATTGGCATAACACAATTTATAAAGA